GGGGGTGGGGGGGGGTATCTGGGAGAGAAATGACCTCTGGAGGGAATACAGGGATTGTTGCCTTTGAAGACCATTTACATGCGCTGAAATCTAAATAACACAATACAGGAGAGGGAACAACACAAAGGATAAGTGCGTTGGGTATTCTCATCGGTTCCAAAACTGGTATTCTCTTGAATCGAGAACACAATAAATCTCAACCTTCACCAACATGCTACATTGATTACTTTTGTCTCAGTGCAGCCAATTTGTATGCATGTATAAATGAAGAATTGCATGTGTGTTTAACCCCGGTGTTTCCCATGATCCTCCTGGGCTGCGAGTGGTGCAGTAATTGAGAGGGAAAGGGTCGACCCTGGAAGCTTTGGGCGTCGCCCGGCTGAACTCTGCCTCGGATCAAAAGACAGGGATCGGCATGGAAACCCTCCAACTCCTCTCTCTCCCCCCGACACACTCCCCAAGGCACCGCTGCCAAAAAACCACCGGGATAATTAAGATGTAGGAAGTCTCACCCGCCTCACCCCTTCCCTCCCCTTCCCTCTTCCTTCTCATCTTTATCAGCTAAATTGAAACTGTCCTTGAACTCATGAAGACCCCGGTTAATTAGTGGGGTTTATAACCTCTCTATCCCCCTCATTATTCCCGTATTGCCATCGTTGCACTAAAGCCCTTTTTTTTTCTTTCCCTATTTTGAGGAATTTGTTCCTGCTTTTAATTTGATCCAGTGTGAAATATGACAGCAGCTGAAGGCACACTGTCAGGAGGTTGGGATTGGACGAGAATGGTTGGTGTTTAGTCTTGGAAATAATGTAAGTATGTTCTGCTCTTCCTCTACAGACTAACAGAGAAGAAGAAGAAGAAGAAGAAGAAGAAGAAGAAGAAGAAGAAGAAGAAGAAGAAGAAGAAGAAGAAGAAGAAGAAAGTCAGAGAGATTCTGCAGGGCATTTGTATCTTGTGAGAGCACGATAAGAGAGTGATGACAACAGACACACAGCTTCACAGAGCCACCCGCTGACACTGCAGTGTGAGTGCGTGATGATATATGTCAGACACAGGAGAGAGAGAGTGTGTGTGTGTGTGTGTGTGTGTGTGTGTGTGTGTGTGTGTGTGTGTGTGTGTGTGTGTGTGTGTGTGTGTGTGAGAAAGAAAAATTAGGAATTAATTGGCTGTAAATTGCACATCTGTTTCCTGCCTGTCAACTCATCGGATCTCTCATCAGGAGAAATCAAACGTGGCAGACAGAAAACAAAACTGTTACCTCACTGCATTAACATAACACACAATACAAATATATCACAGAAGTTACACACAAGTATCAAGTGTTTAACCGCAAGTCTTTAAAAACTGCAAGAGCCCAGTGTTAGTGTTTACTTCCTGTCTGATTTCTGAATGTCTTTTAAACGCTTTCCTTCACTGGGGACCGTATAGCCATCCCGTTTCCTACTCTCCACAAATAATACAAAATAAATATTCAAAAAGTATTCTGCTGTGTTTTCTGATTGAGAAAAACAAATGTTTGTTGTCCACAGCTGGCGTGAAATGGACCGGACTTCTTTCTGTGTATTATTATGACTTCACATAGTCCCTTGATCAACCTGTGATAGTCTCTTCTCACTTTTTGATAATTGTGTTTCTGATCGTGCCGTTCTTGGGTCAAGTGCTCAGAGTTCAGCCTTCTCGGACTCTTTGTGCCAATTAACGCACGTCTGATCCACGCTGCCTTCCCCTCTTTAATCTCCTTCTCTTTTGTTTTATTCAGCCCATTTAGTGTTTCCACTCAGACAAAGAAGTTGCCATCTGAGTTGCCTGAAGATCAGAGAAGGCGTTGTTAAGCAGAATGAAAGTGTTTTGTTAATACAGTCGCCTCTAAAGATTGCTTCTATAGAGCTCGGGCTCTACTCTCGTTCGAGCCTGAGGCCCTTGAGCATGAAATCAATTCCATTCATATCGTGTGATGTGAAAGAGAGCGGACGCACAATCAGATGAAAGGCTGAAAAAAAGACTGATTAACAAATAAAGATTGGTTGAGAAGATGCTTATTTGATGTTGTTGTGTTTAATGGGGTGTTCTGTTTTGCGAAAGCCAATCAGCGGTGAGAATCTCCGCCTGGCGTCAGATATTTACTGACGTTGAATCAGAAAACAAAACATCAACTGTTAGCTGTTGGCAACGGCACACAGATCTCATAGTTCCTCATATCCAAGATAATTTAATCCAAGAGACACTTTCGGGAGCCAGAGATTTGTATATATATATATAATTTTTCCTCACATAAACACAACAGTCTGCAATGAAACGGTTGTCTCCTGTGTGCTCCACTTCCTCCTTGGCGAACCGGTAACTTTCTTGTTAATCCGTTTTGGTTTAAAAATAGAATACGTCGTTTTTTTGGTTTTCTGTTTTTTTTTTTTTTTTTCAGTTTTGGTTTTAAACCAGAAAAAACAAAAAACAACACCGGTTTGTAATCTTTCCTATTCGGTTTTGAAACGGAAAAACCAAAGAACGAACCAGAGTTCCCGTTAGCCGGTAATTACCGGACTACGACCGGTAAAATATGCTGAAGACCGGCAAATCTAAATCTCTCCGGTCAAAGTGTCCGTTCAAAATAATTTCCGTTTAGCGCAATACCACATCAGTTGCGCAACTTGCGCCACTTATGTGACAGACAAGAATAGCCAATTCTAATGTCTAACACTTAATGTGGAGAAAGAGATGTCCTGTATGGGTTGATTGTGCGTTGATCTGTTGGTAATGCCTCGGGGTTCCGGTGGGCATGTAAACAAATGCATAATGCTGCGCTATACTTTGTGGCCTCACCCAGTTGCATAGCGACACTTATTGTTTAGGTGTCTTTTAATAAGCAGGTAGTCATATCATTAGCTGGAACTAGCTGGATCTGATTGATATGGACACAAACGCGAGTAAAGTCTAATCTGACGGGAGAGAGAGTCAGCTGCTGCTGACGAGTCGACACGCAGCTCTGCAGGATCACATGCAGCGGTGAGCGGAACAAAACACACACTTCAGGTTAGAATATCACACGTAGCTATTTTAATTACCTCTCAAACTACCTAAACTAGTTATAGATATGTTTAGTTTTACTGTCGGGTCACTCATTACTGGATCCGCGAGCTGCATGATAAAGACGGGCTGTCAGGAGAGGGAGAGAGCGCTCCGTTTATTATTCCCGTGTTATTGTAAATTACTGTTCACTTTTGAATAATGTAGTTAATCTACTATAATTAGTTTGTTTAATATCGAATCATATCAATTTGTTTTAAAGCTCAATAAATAACAAAAAAGACCTTTGACCGGCACTTTTCAAATTTTGTCCGGAAGATTTAAACTGTAACGGACATGTTGACTGGCGAAAAGATATTCTGACGGGAACTCTGCTCTACCGATGTGTTCAAATTGCCTGTTCACCTCTGGGCTTTCACACAAGCTGCTTCAAACCCCAGAGCAACAAGTGTCTGCTGTCCGGCTCCAGGTCGCTGCAGCTGACTGCGTAACCAAGGAAGAGAGAAACGTGACCTGATGCAGCGAGCTGAGCAAACATCTGGCCTCCGCATGCCTCAGACTCCCTAATCCAGTCCGCTGTTATCGTTACACTTACATAAACCACATTCTGGATTTATAGAAGCCATCAGAACAGAAAGATATCAGCAGTGAGAGGGCAGCTGGACACGTGACGAAAAGGTCTTCCTTCGACAAACCACAGGTCCTGCCTCTACAGATATCTAATGGTTTATACATAATTTGTAAACTCAACACCCTCTGGTACTCGTGGTAACTACCTGGTGCAATAATACTTAATGAAACTAGTTCCCCGAGTGCTCTGAGATGATATCAGGCTCAGGGCAAATAGACTCTGCACTCATAACCTCAGTGACCGGCAAATCAGTCTGCACTTCAGAAGCTATTTGCATGTGTGTGAGTGTCGGTGTGTTTTGGGTGCTGTATCACAGATCAAGATCTACTGCTGAGAAGGCCGATCTCACCTGAGGTTGGACGCTTGGTCGGTGAACTCGGTGGCCACGAGGGAGAAGTACTTCCTCATCTTGATCCAGAGGTTGGGTTTGGGGATGCAGCCGTTGTGTGCGTGGATGGCGTGGATACGAGCCATCTCCCCAGCGATCATTCTGACAGGACACATGAGTGTTCAAAAGCCGTCACCAAGGATAATCCGTGTCATCAGATTACATATAAGTATTGATTGCATAAAGTGACATTTATCGTCAGCCTCACATCGTGTGGCAGACGATCTAACCGACCGTTCAGCCTGTGATTAGCATGTTTTGCTACCTGTGCCTTTTCCCTGTGCCGCGTCGAGGCATTTCTGGCTTGTGAAGAATGTGGAGACCTATGATAGACCTTGAAAGTGTGATGCTACAGTGTAATAATTCAAGCATCTCTGGGCTAAGTCAGAATAAATCCTGAGTATTCCCACGATCTCCTAAATCCTAACCTGAGCAAAGAAGGATCCCTGACATCCTGCGTCCCCAGAGCGTCCCCCTGAATGAACTCGTAGCAGATGCCATTTTGAAATGAGCAGTAGAGGCGAGGAGCGCAACCATTAGCATGTAGCACCTAGAGAAGAGAGACAGAAAAACACAAGAGTTAGACGGGAGAACATTCTTTTGAAGTGTTTTCATTCACAGCAAAGCACCGCCATTTTGATGAGCTACCTGGAAGCTATTCAGCTCATTGTCCCTGTCCACAAACAGCTCCGTCTTGTTCCCGTAAACTCTGACCAGGACCACATCCTCGGGACTGTCCTCCACGTAGCAGCCCACCAGTTTGTTGGTGGTTCCATCTGTGAAGAGCTGGAGGAGGAAGATAAAAGAAGTCATGTAACCTTTCACAGAGATCCAGAGGAATACCCCCAACGTCCCCGCACAGCGCCATGGTGCTTTTCCAAAACACAATCTGGAATTTGAGTGTTCACTAAAGCTATCAGCTGTCAGGACCAACAGTGCAGACACCATGCAGCTCTCACCTTCATGAGATATTAAATGTCTCATTCAGCAGCATTTTCAACTGGCATACTGTCACATGAGCCTCAGGACCTTTATGTCAATCTATTTGTAACATTCACCCGGTATAGGTGTCTGTATCCGCCTGTGTTTTCTTGTGTTTGCTGCATTTGAGACATTTCTAGTAGTCAACTAGGACTGCACAATTAATCAAATATTAACAGTGATCATATGTTTGGCTTCACACAATTTAATTATTAGGATTGACTGGGATAATGTGGTTGTATGTAGTGGGGATTTTTTTACTGGGTGGACGGGGTGGGGAGACACTATGGACGTGCTTGTGAACTGTCAACG